GTCCTCCTTCCTCCCTTTTTTGAAAATGGGAACCACAGTGGCCCTTTTTCAGTCCTCTGGCACCACACCAGAGCACCACGAATGCCCGTAAAGCCGTGCCCGGGGTCCCGCAATGACCTCTGCTAATCCCCTCAGCACCCTGGGGTGGAGAGCGTCAGGACCTGATGATTTAAATACGTCCAGTCCCTCCAGAAGTTCCCTGACTAGGTCCTCACTGACCCAAGGCCTGGGTGCACCTCCCCCGGGGCCTGAGGGTGTCCCGGCGGACGGGCTGATCTGGTCCCTGCTCAGGAAAATAGAGGCAAAGAAATCGTGAAATAGGTTAGCCTTGTCGTCTGGTGCGACAACCGGATTTCCTAGCGTGTCTTGCAGAGGTCCCACATTACCGGGTACCTTCTTTTTGCCCCCTATGTATTTAAAAAAGGACTTCTTGTTGTCCTTGATCCGGGTTGCTAGTCCCAGTCCCATCTCCCCTTGGCCTTCCTGACCGCCCCCCCTACAGCCCTGAGCAAGGGCTGGATAGTCCTCCCTGGTGATGGCCCCTCCCGTCCATTGGGTGTACGCCTCCCTTTTAGCTAGGAGACATTCCCATATGCTTTTGGTGAGCCATGGGGGCTTTTGTGCCCTCTTGTCCCCTTTGACCGTTGTTGGGATTACCTCCCTTTGGGCTTGGAGGATTGTCTCCTTAAGGAACGACCACTCCTCTTGGATACCCGACTCCCCTTCCCTCCAGGACCTCAGTACTTCCCCAGCTATTCTCCTTACCTCATTGAAATCTGCCCTCCTGAAGTCCAGGGCTGCTGCCTTGCTGGAGGCTTTTGCCACCTTGCGCTGGATGGTGAATTCCAGCAGGCGATGATCGCTGTCGCCCAGGTGGTCGAGCACCGCAGCCCTCACACGAGGTCGTTGCCTGTGGCCAGCACCAGATCCAACAAGGCTTCTCCCCTGGTGGGGCTGTGCACCTCCTGGGTTAGATGGAGGTCCTGTATCTCAGCTAGGAACCTACATGAGCGGTCAGACCTGGCTGACTGCTCCTCTCAGCAGATGTCTGGTAAGTTCAGGTCACCCATGATGACCATTCAATAATAACACGGTATGTTAGGCAATACGATTACGTAGCAAACAGTCTGCTGCCCAGAGGCTGTGAAGTATGGAATAACCGACTAGGATATTAGCCCCAAGTGTGGTCTCATGCCTGGGCAGTCGTCCATTTACATGAGTGACCCTCCATCTGGATTATTGCAGGATCTACAGATTCACACAAGTTTAGGGATGAAAGGGACCTCGTGATGGAAGGCATCAGCGCTCACCGCAGAGGTGCAGCAATTTTCCATTCTCTGAGATGGACTGTGGGAAGCACGCTCCTGTTCGAAAGGAAAAGCTGTCGTATGTGCTTGCGTGCAGTGCATAACTGTAGTTGCATACGTGGCATTACTCTCCGTTGCGGGGACGCTGTTCCCAGTGCATACAGTAAGACAAAAACTACCCCATTTCCTCTTGAATTTAACAGCGATTTCTGTGAGGAGCCGGGTGTGCTCAGTTGAAGAGCCACGTGTTGTTCTGGAGCCATGGCCTGAATATCACTGATTTACACCTATGGTCTATGAGCTGGATCTGGCTGTCTTTTCCTGAGGGGGTGAAGAGAAAAGCCCGTGGCTTATGGGGGAGTAGCTAGGAAAATGAGACAAACATCCAACTGGTGGAATCCTATTGTCTTTTTCCAGTGGACAGTAATATAGATGTATTATATATAGTAGAAGACTTTTCAGGAAAAAAATCATATAGGATATTTTGTATATTTGTTATATTTTATTTAAATAATTATATATAGAATTATGTTTTTGTCTCTCCATGTCTCTGAGTATTATCAAAGTATGCATGCTTAAAGTTGCATTGGATTACACCGCTTAAGAAATACTCCATGCGCTGCTACTCTTAGAAGATATTATTACAATCTATAAATGGGCAGAGTTAAGGCTATGTTGAACCAGTAACTGCAGTGCCTGCTATGCGTGTGGGCACATGTTGAATGGTGCAATTGGTTTCTGAATGGCATTTCCTTGGGATGTTTGGCCTTTTATTTACCAGAAAAGAATGAAAAAGAAAAAGATTTACCCGTAGTTTTGACTCGGCTGTAAGTGGATAAAAATAAACAGCAGCACATGACTTTATTCCATTACACAGCCGGGGCAGGCAAAATTACCGCTGAATGGTAAGCCGGGGTCACCCTGCTCTGCAATTACTATGGTCCCTAATGCACTGAATTGCAAGTAATATCCCTTCCTGGAGTGTAATCGTATCTGACTCTGTGTGAGAGAATCAAATGAGCTCATAGAGTAAGCAGCTCAAGAAAGCAGCCTTCAAGGAGAAATGGGGAAGTGGCCTTAAATCTCCAAAATGCCTGGGAAAGCAATCAGACTGTGCTGCTTGCCTCCTTGGGGAAGCCCTTGGTGTGACGGGCGAGCACTGGGCACGGGGGACCACTTTCGGGTAATGTAACACGAATGGTTTCACTGCTGGTTTTCCCTCCCAGGCTGCTGTGCTGTGGCATCACATCACAGCCCTCCATGTGGGTCTTGATAAAAGGGCACGCTGTATGTTATTTGACCACCCCCAGGAGGAGTTTTCACCATTTGTAGTTGGCAGCTGAGGCTGCAGCGCAATGGAGAAAGATGGAGTAGAACAAGTGCCCGTGCCCAGCACAGCACATCCCCAAGTGCCCGAAAGCTTGCAGAAAAAGGTATTGTTTTTTGCAATTTCTTAGCAGGTCTAATAAAAGGTACCATCTCTGAACCAAGCGTTTTGCATGCACAGCAGAAATACGCATGCAGTGTCCAGTGTCCCCCAAACCCTTGCCATTTTGGTTGCTATTATTACTTTTCTCCCTCCACTCGCTAACTGGGAAGGTAAATGGTGCTTAAAAGATAAAAGGTAAAAGAAGGATAGGATTGGTTGTACGCTGGCAAGGAGATTTCCTTGCACCCCCGGGCTGAGTTTTGCTGTCCAGACCTGTGAAAGTAGATTTTTGATTGGGTAGCTGATCCAAAAAAAATGAAGAATAAATAAAACTAATTTGGGGTTGACCTGAGACTCGCCTATGTTATTTTTCTTGCTGAACAAAACTCTCCCAAACATTGGAATAGGTTATCCAGAGAGGCTGGGGTATCTCCATCCTTGCAGGTTTTAAAGACCCGGCTAGACAAAGCCTTGGCTGGGATGACATAGCAGAGGATGGCCCTGCTTGGAGCAGGGGGTTGGACTAGCTGTGACCTCCTGAGGTCCCTTCCTACCCTCATTTTCTCTGATTCTGTAATTTCACTTGGGGTCAAATGGATTTTTTTTTAACTCCGAATGAAACTTAAAAAAAAAAAAAAATCAATGGACCTAAATTTCGTCTCAAAACTTTGAAAAATTGGAAGGGCTTCATTTAGAAAAGTCAGAATGGTTTTTTTTAATGTACCAAAAATGCATTTTTGGGACAAATAAAATATTCATCTCTGAAATGTCGCCCTGTTTTCTTCCTGCGATGGCTGTTAAGAGGTCCGTGCTGAAACCATAGGAATCTCTCTATTCTTTTAAAGTAGCTACATATACATATTTGCAGAAGCACTTTGAATGATTTGCACCCCTGCACGCAATGCCAAGGGAAGGTATAGAGATATGTCCTTTGTTTTCTAAGTGTAGACAGCTGGACTTGCTTTCATTGTCTCAAAACCAGTGGTGCTTTCTTCCAGCATTGTCCCTAAAATAACTGTGCGTGCTGCCATGACTCAATTTAGCGTTCACCTCTGAAGTCTGTCCCTGTATAGCTATCGTTTCTATCATCACTGCATCTAAGTGCACCACAAACACCAATGAATGAATCCTTCGTGGAGCCTCAAGTCCATGCAAAGGTCATTTTTGGTCTCCTGTCTCCCTTGGTGGGATGTGTCCAGTGCACCTTACTCTAAAGCACTTCCAGTGCTTGAGATAAAGCACCGTGTCTGTTAGCTCGGCAGCAGTAGCCGCCTCAGTCCATTTCTGTGGTCCTCTTCTTCATGCTGCAGCTCCAGCCGAATGGGTGGGTAAGTGTTAGCTGAGTTACTGATGGGGAAACTGAGGCACAGATAAAGAAGGCAGCTCACCCGCAGTTAGTAACCAGCCAGTGACATGGCCAAGGATAGAAACGGATCTTTGTCTCCTGCCTCAAACTCCTCTCTTAGGTGAGAGGTAGTTAGCCATGCGCGGCTGAAGTTAGCCTCGAACTTGGCTTCTGTCCTCCTAGGTGTCAGCTCTGAATCCACGTTGCTTGTCTCCTACTACAGGTGCTTCAAGCCGCCGCTCAGCTCCTCTCAAACCCACCGCCCGGTGATGCCGACGCTTGACGCCGTTTCAGATACCCGAACTGTCAGGAGGCACGTTCTTGCAAAACCTGATGACATCCCACCATGCTCCGAGTGAGCCGATGAACACGACCCCGACGATCCCAGGGTAGATGAGCGGGGGACCGTGGTGATGCCATTTGCCTTCCCAGACGAGCAATTTCTAAAACCTTCTTTAGGCTTGATTAACCTAAGTGATTTTTGCATTACCTGCAGATGTTGTGTGGTCATCGCTCACCCTTTTTTCCAGGGCAGTGATTATTTTTGGGATTTCAAGGCCAGGCTCACAGGTACCGTTATGGTCATCTAGTCTAATGTCCTGATAACACAGGTCATAGGACTTCCTTGAATAATTGGCACTTCAAGCCCACGACTCCTGTCTGCATTAGACTGTAGCTTTTTAAAAAAATATCAAGCATTGATTTAAATGTTTTAGTGGATGGGGAATCCACTGCACATTGAGGTAAGTGATTCCAGTAGTTAATTATCTTC